GCCTCGAGAACCTCTAACCCTTCATCATCATTCCAGAAGAAAATCTTTTGGTGCACTGTGGAAGGAACTGCGCCTACTCCATGGATCCATTCTCGACCTAGCAAAACATTGAAATTTGCCTTGGATGGCGTCACTATAAACATAGTGGTTCTCTTCACACTCCCAATCTGCACATCAAGCAGAATCATGCCTTCAGGGTGTGAAGACTTCCCTGCATAGTCAGAAATCATTATGTTGTGAGGCTTCAAGTCGCCCAAAGACTTCCCAAACCTTTTCAGCATTGTTTTTGGCAAGATGTTCACAGCTGCACCTCCGTCGACCAAAACCTTATTCACCTCTTGCCCCTCGATCATCAATGTCAACAATAGGGGCTTAAGGTGTCCCTTCATTTCCTCCGTGGGAGAGTCGAACACAGCAGAATTGAACTTGGGGATCACCCTCGAGATTTGATTGACCCATATGATTTTGGATTCATAATTGGGGTCATCGAAGAAATCCTCTCAATGAATATCCTCTTGTTCGTTCACGGACTCCATAGCCCCAGCATACTCGGAAGGCAGAATGGAAACTACCTCGCAAATGTCTTCCAGAGAGTCCTCGAAACCACTTTCGAAGCAATCAGTAATCATGTCTTCATCATCCTCGAGAAACTTTTGAGATGATTCCCCTTTCTGAGGTACAGGGATCGAGAAGCGGTTTCCCCCAACACCTTCAAAGGTAGCTTTTCGCATCCTTTGTTGTCTCCTCCACTGGGTCTTAGTTAAATTATTGAACGGTTGTCGAAAGCCCCGTCCATATCCCCCAGTCGAAAATTTACCAGACCCTGAAGCCTGATTCGAGGATTTCCCGAGATTTCCTTGTACTGGGTTCCTAACATAAGTCATTACCTGCTTCCCTCGACCCATTCCACCAACCATGGGTTTCGGAGGTACATTCCATTTTCCGATGGGGACATTAGCATTTGGTACGAAAGTATTGCCGAATCTCGAGGAGTTATACATCTCCATTTTTCCTACTGGAGCATTATATTGAGGCATATGAACCTGCCTCATTATTAACCCAGCATGTAGTCCAGCATTAGTCTTAGACTTTTGTCGAAAACTTTCAGCTTTGTAGTTCCTCATC